TGGTGAAAGCATCAAGTACAAGTAATAATTAAAAAGTCAATTTCATTAATTTAAGGTTTTTTAAATCCAACACTACATTTTGAGCCCCATAATTCCTGGTTGTGAAGGACTATAGCATACGTTTCAGGTTGTTTTGCCGATTCATTGATTACTATCCACTGGTTATCAATAGTGCTGCCAAAAGGGAACTAAGTATTCTTATGTAGTTAGTCAAAATTATAGAATAGATTATGTACAGTAAGAGTGGGTGTGAGGCCACTTTTGTCATAAAATGAAGAAAATTTTCAAGATAATGATATAAATAAACATGAACAATTTCTGTTTATTAAACATGTGGAAAACTGGAAAGGAGACAGAGAATAAAGTAATGGTCATAATTTTGTATAATTTTGTTTCTTTCATGACTTTTATGGTGTCTCTTGTGTTTCAAAGCAATCTCCTGCTACCACTTAAGTAAGGGTTGGTTGTTCCAATAAAGGTGTCTCTGATTTATCACCACTAGATAAAAAAGTGAAACCTCTGTAAATAAAAATATACCTCTTTCTTCTCTCACATGCATTCCAAAGCTTTTTTTTTTTTGAATTCTGAATGATAGTTATGTTTTGGAAAATGTTCTGAAGAATTACAAGCTGAAGAAATTTAGTTTTTCTTAGCACCTTCAGAAGACACTAATGAACAATGGTTCCATAAACTAATGTACATGTTGAGTTTTCAGTTTGCCTCTGTTATTTTTCTGTCACTATTTGCCAATATTCCAAGCAGAGATGTTTTCTGTAGATGTCTTAAGTTTTGAAGTTCACTATCAGTGATTTTTTGGTTAATTATTGAATGAGCAAATAAATGTTATTCTGTAGTGTTGCTATGCTTTTGTTAGAAATTTCCCCCTATTTTTGTAGAATTTTAAATTATTTTACTAATTGTCATCTAGAATCCTCTGCAACAAATATATTCATGTAGGACTTAATACAAAAACATATCAAGTATGTTTCTTGTGTGTATATTTTTGTTTAGAGCAGAGCACATTTCCTTAAAGTTTATTTGCATTATTTAAGAATAGAGAGAGCTTATGTTGTTGAAGTGCCAAATCCTATTAATTTAGGTACCAGTCTGAAGAAAACTAAATTGCAATGTAATCAGGCCATCAATTTGGCAAGAAAAACAATACATCTTAGAATCCACATCAGCCCAAAGAATAGGAATTGACTGTGTTTGGCCTTTATCTAACTGTTTCACAATGCAGTTGCCTCCTCAGGTAGACTGGGTATAAGTCTTGGTTGGTTGAGGATTGGGAAGAGTCAGAGCTGTGTAGGAATTCTCAGGAGGCTTACCTCCAGACTAGCAAAGGAGAAGAGTTAAGGGAGCAATGATTTTTTGGGCAAGGTGTTAAGCTCTCTGAGTGGGAGTTGGGACTGAGTAGGATTATATGCAAGTCCTCACCAAGCTCACCCAGGAACCATTGGAAAGGGGCAGATTTTATTTTTAACACAAAATATTTAGAACATGAGAAATTAGCTAAACAAGCATTATTTTTCTACATGCTTCTTATTATCTGAGCAGTTCCCTGAGGATTATTATGGGAAAATAAATAACTCATTATTCAATAATACTCCATGAAAAAAATTACCATCTTTTGTCTCACAATTTTGTTTATGTAGAAAAATATTAAACTTTTCATTTCTGTGCAGCTCAAGTCTGATTTTTATTTTTGGTTTTTGAACCATACCCAGCATTGCTCAGGAATTATTCCTGGCTCCATGCTTAGGGATAATTCCAGGTGGGGTTTGGTGGACTGTACAGGATATCAGGAAAGATAAGATAACTTTAAATGCACTATTTGTTGTATTATCTCTGGTTCCATGACTTAAAATTGTGATAACTATTTGTGATACTCTACAAACCTTTATTCTTAATGAAAAAAGAAAGTTATTTAATTTTTTCTTACCTTTAAAATCTATTATGCTATTTTGTGGCATTTGAAAAATTATCTTTATGATGCAATGAAGAGAAATGCTTTTTTGTTGTTGTTTTTATTTTTGAAAATAAACCCGACTCCTTAAGATATTCAGTTAGATAAGCTAGCAGTACTACTGTGCCTTCTGTTCAGTTCTTCAGGGCCATGAAGTCAGCAGCTGAGGGTCCCAGACATAGAAGAAATGTGCATTACTGTGTGAGCTATATCTCCATCCCCAAATACATTGTTTTACTTTTATTTGAAGGGATATTATGACAAAAGCATGTATAGTGAATTAGAGAGTTGAAGTTCTAAGAATTCTGATAAGAAAGAAGTTTCAATGTAGTGCCATCATTGGGAAATGTTTTGAAGAGGGAGCATAAATTGCTAATGTGGATTGGGAAAGAAAAAAATATTGTGTGCTGCTCCCAGAAGAGAACAGCACAAAGTCTCCTGCCTCTGCGCCTGGCTGTCCTCACCGGGGCTCCTTGGAGGAGGGTGGATTGAGTTTCCCTCCCCACTCTGAGCAGAGCTCCGGCAGCTGAAGACCTCTGGTTCCAGCCACAGCCATGCTTAAGACCACTCTCCACATGTTTGGACGAGCCTCACGCATGAAGGAACCGGTTGAGGAACCCAGGTGTGCAGGACCTGGGGCATAGATCTCCAAGCCTGTTCGAATTGGGACTGGGGCCTCCTCCACCCAGATCCCCCATCTTCCAGTATGTAGGCGTTACACCTACCAACTGCCCCCGGTGCCATGTAATCCCATCAACGGCCAAGACCCAGAGAATTTAAAACTCTGGTCCTGGAAGCGGGACTTGGTGAGGACTTGCATTATTAGGCGAATGCGGCCGCATGACATCTTATCATCTAGTTCTTACTATGGAGAACCTGGCAGGCTACCAAATGTATCCTGCCCACATGGCAGAGTCTGGCAAACTCCCCATGGCATATTCAATATGCCCCAAACCAGTAACAATGATGAGTCTCATTCTCCTGATCCTGAAAGAGCCTCGAATGTGGCACTTTTTGAAATCTCAGGGCTAGGACCAAGGAGATGTTACTGGGGCCTGCTCAAGGCAATTGGTGAACAACAGGAAGACAGTGATACAGTGATACAGTTTTGGGAGACTGTCCTTTTGTCCTCTCATATCCTAATAGTATGTCAGATCACAAGGCTCTGATTTATTTTTAAACATATCATTTCTCAGGATTCCGTTTGTAGTAAGTGACCTTGAGAGATGAACTGATATCCCAGACAATGTGTAGACTTGATGTTAGTAATCATAAAGTGGTTAATAATTAATATCAAGTAGCCTTGGGATCTGTGTTCACTCCAGTAGGATAGCCCACTATGTACTAGTATTCATCTTAGTTTTAGAGCCCTTATAGGACTTGAATGTTAGAACAGTCATTGAAAACATGGGACTTATGATGTAATTAATATAATATTTTGCATTTGATTCCAAATTTTTACCTTTTTTGCCAGCCTTTATAGTATAATATTAGGCTATTGTTTTGTTAGAAGAGTATTAAAAAGATATATTGGTGGAATCTATTTTTAAAAAAGAGCAAGTTAGCCATTATTGAAAAACTGTATTCCCTGTCTCATTTGAACTGGGACTAAAGCAATTATTTCAAGAAAGTATCAAGTAAACAATTTTTTAAAAAAATATGATTTGTGTTATGCCAGGGATTGAAAGAAAGTTACCTGATTTATGAGGATTGATTTTTTTATGATAGTAGGGTTGGCAAGTCCTTGCCTAATAATTTTCCTTTTGTGACTTTCAAAACTTTTTTTAGAGCATTACAAAGCCATAAATGATTAAATTTCAGTCATACAGTATTCCAACACTTATCCCCCCATTAGTGTACATTTCCCAGCATCAGTATCCCCCGGATCCCTCCCATCACCCCCATACCCCACCCCTTGCCTGCCTCTTTGGCAGGTGATCGGAGAATATGTTCTCTTTCTCTTTGTCTCTCTCAAATCTTATTGCAATATTTTCAATTTGAGGTTGATCATAGGTTTTCATATATGAAAATAGCAGAGCGGGTAGGGCGTTCGCCTTACAAGCGGCCAACATGGCCGACCCGAGTTCGATTCCTCCGCCCCTCTCGGAGAGCCCGGCAAGCTACCGAGAGTATTCAATATGCCAGACACAGTAACAACAAAGTCTCCAATGGAGACGTTACTGGGACCGCTCGAGCAAATCGACGATCAACGGGAGGGCCTTTACCTTTACCTTTTATATAAAAATGCTATCAGAAATAACACTGATCTTGAGGCTAATCTGATATTAACTAGCAATCATTTTATAGTTACTATAATCAACTCTACATTTTGTCTAAGACAGAGATCAGTTCCTCTCTCAAGATCACTTGCTACAAATGGAATCCTGAGAAATGATCTGTGTTAAAATAAGTCAGAGTGTTGAAATCTGACATACTAGTAGGAAATATGAGAGGACAAAAGGATTATCTCCCCAACACACAATATTTTCTTTTTCTTAAGGCATATTGGCAATTTATACTACCTCTTCAAATTAAAATTTGGTACTGGATTTGAGAATGTGTTCTCTTTCTCTTTGTCACTATCTTACATTTCATTATAATATTTTCAAACTTAGGCTGACCACAGGTATCTAAAATCAAAGAATAAACCTATATGAGGTGTTTTATATAATTATAAAGTTATAGGGATTGCAGAAACATTTTTTTCCTGTTACCTAGTAAATGATTTTTAAAACCCAGTTTCTTATAGTGGTTTCATCATTTAACTGTATTTCCTTTAAAAATAAATTCATAGGTAAATAAGTTTTATCTCATAGGTAAAATTGTTTCTACAATTTAGAAGACAAAAAATGTTCAGTCAGATATGAATTTTTAATTTCTAAATAAAGCAAGGACTCAAAACAAATATTTTTTCTATTCATTTATAAGGTTATTAGTCTTCAGTGGTGTTTAGACAATATTCAAATACAAGACAGATTTTAGTTGTTATCTCCAGACTTGCACACTTAGTTTCATTATCTCCAGTTTTATTATCTCAAGATTTGTTTTCAAAATTAGTTTTATTAGCACATTTGTGCAATAGACTGTAGTACTTTTCATCTGGAAAAGTATATAGTGATGAAATTTCCTTCCAGTTATCAAGGCTTGGGGTGTAAGGGATGCTGGTGTTCTTTGCATCTGACGGTGGCATAAAGAAACATTTGACATTCTGTTTGGCTAATTCTGCAGCATGCTCTTTTGCTTCTTTTTTAAAGTTCTCCTCTTCCTGTTTCATATAGATTTTCCAAAAATTCAGTTGTCGAAAACCTACAGGAGAGCAGCACTGAGAAGCAATTGCACCAATCATAAGGCAGATAATAACCACTGCAATCAGGGACCAGCCTAGAACCTGAAAGTAACAAAGTAGGAGTTTAATCAAATTTTAATAAAAAATAAATTTACAAGTAAAGTTTGACCTACTCTTATGTGATGAACCAATAACAATATAAAGTCTTAATTCCATCAAGGAAAGGGAAATAAGAGAGTGATGTAGAAGGCGAAGGGTAGACAGAGGTATATGACCCAGAATCTGCTCTCAGTGAGTGTCTTTCCTCCTGCTCACTGGTTTTACTAAAATATTGGCGTTTCAGCTATGTAGAGACAAGTAGCAATTCTATTTTATTTTCTGGTGACTAAATTTGAAGAAAAGACACAATTCTTCCCCACCCCATCTAGCCCATATAAAAGTAAAGTAAAGTAAAGGCCCTCCCGTTGATCATCGATTTGCTCCAGTGGGCCCTTTAACGTCTCCATTGGAGACTTTGTTGTTACTAGCCCATACATGCCAGCCCTTTTCAATCTTCTCCTCTACCCCCAAAACCAGTGACTGACCTGTGATTGAGCCTTGAGAACCTTTGGAAATGTCTGCATTTCGGATAATAGGTCTGATTCCTTGCAGGGAACTCGGGGCATCAGGTTAATACAGTTCTCCAGTTTTTTGGTGTCATTGTCAGCGATGGCAGAGCAGAGGGGCTGTGCAATTTTCCTGATTCCGCTGCCAGCACATACATAATAGGTACCTTCGAGCAGCGCCATGGCCATCCAAGTGAGTGGCAAAGAAGCAACCGAACAGCTAAGCTGCCAGAAACACTTGCTACTTTGCAGGCAAGCGTTACAGCTTTCATGGTAGCAGCCCTGCTTGCAGCAGTTGGTTAACAGGCGCCACGTGCGTGTTCTCACCAGGTAACCCAGGATGAAAAGCACCAGAGTCGGCACCAGCAGGAACATCAAACCATAGGTCTGGTTCCAGGTCTTGTTGCAGGGGCACTGGAACACCGCGTTGGAGAAGACGCTCTCTCCGCCTACTGTCAGCAGGGTTGCCAGGCCACAGCCCAGGGCGCTGCGGTACTTGCGGTACAGGTCCACCGCCAGGCGAAACTTCTCCATGGCTTTTCCCGAGGCTGCTCCGCTCAGTCACCTGTTGTTCTTCCTGCTGCTCTGCTTGTCAGGAGTCAACTAGCATCTGAAGTCGTTTTCTGCTCTTTATTAGGACACAGCTTCTGATAAAGGAAGAGGGCTTCTCTGGTCTCCTTGATGTTTCTTTTGCTTTCTTATTTTAACCAAATTAACTCTGGCTAACAAATTACCAAGCCAAATGTACACACCCTTTTCCAGTATCTACCCTTCCCAGGCACCTTCCCCCACCCTTTCACCTGTCACCCTGCGCCCCCCCACAGGCTCAGCGACACACACACACACACACACACACACACACACACACACAATAGCTACTTTCATCTCCCAGGTAGGGACTCCATCAAAGGTTAAACTTTGTTTGGTTGAGTCCTTTGTTCCCACCTCTTAATCAGAGACACACCCTTATCGCACAAACTTAATGTAATCACCCAACGGAAAAACTATGTTCTACTTGGGCAAACTGGGAAAAGAATCAGATATTCCTTAGTGTACCCACCCTAACTCCTAAGTCAACTCCTAGCAAGAACAAACAATTAGGGGTAAAAAGCTAAGCATTTGCAGGAGACAAAGGACACATTTCTGCTTCTTTTTTCACAAGCTAAACCACAACAAAACCCAGTTTAAGTTTATGTTCTATTACACTTATGTTTCCCCTTGTGGAAAGATCCACCAGTCTAAGGTAATCTAAGAGGGCCAAGTTAGGAGAGCTGCTAGGGTCAGGGCTCATCCTTGTTTTCAGTGAATGACAAAGACAACTGAGACCAAGGCCAGACAAAGAATATTTATTAAAGGATTAGTAACAAACAGAACTTCACACTAGGTGCTAGGTGAGAGGCAGGCAATAGACTGCCCAAGCACTATTGTTAGCTCATAGCATACAGTCATTAACCATTGGCTCTGTCATACTATGTTGTGCCCTGGGGGCCTGTTCTGTGCAGGCAGTAGTCCAGGAAACCAGCTGTCCTGACAGGGTGCAAAGTTCCACAAGTCTTTGTGGTTTGTTATTTTAAAGAGGCCAGTTCTTTATCTGTCTCTGCCTACCCATCTCCTGTGCCTGTTTTCACTAATTTATTTATTATTACTATTACAATTGGTTTTGGGTCACACCTGCAGTGCTTCGGTCTTACTCTTCTCTGTGTTCAGGAATCACCCTGACACTGTTTGGGAGATCATATGTAGTTCAAACCAGGTTGGCAGGCTCAAAGCAGGTTGGCAGAATTCAAGGCAAGTGTGTATGATTTTTGCATCAATATTTGTTAGAAATGTTGGTCCATAGCTTTTTGCTTTTTTAAATTTATTATTATTTTGTGTGTGTGTGAAACCTTGTCTGGTTACTAAATCGGGGTTATGTCCTCATAAAATGTGCTTGTAAATTTTCCCTTATTTAAATTTTTGGGACTAAATTGAGAGGTGTTGATGTTAATTTTTTTAAATTTATTTGGTAGGGGCTGGAGAGATAGCACAGCGGGTAGGGCATTTGCCTTGCACAAGGCCAACCTGGGTTCGATTACCAGCATCCCATATGGTCCCCTAAGCACCGCCAGGAGTAACCCCTGTGCATCGCCAGGTGTTACCCGAAAAGCAAAAAAAATTAAATAAATTAAAAAAATAAAAAAATAAAATTTATTTGGTAAAATTCAATACTGTATTGAGCTCACTTGGTTGAAGCTTTTGGTTTTTTTGGAAATTCTATTATTAATGTGTTTCTATTTGCTTATGGATGATGGGTCTTTTTCACATTTTCTTTCTGATTTAGGTCTGGAATATTCTAAGACTTTGTACATTCTCTGATTGTAATAATTTAAATAAAACTGCTGATGGAATGGAAACTGGGAACCCTGGTTAACGGAAGAGGACACAGGTGAAGGGATTGGTGCCAGAATTTTGCATGCCTGAAACCCAATTATGATTAACTTTGTAATTCATGGTGACTAAAAGCAAACAAACATGTGTTAATGTAACCCTCTTCTCATAGTCTCTCAGTGATACTTTGTTCTTGAATGAATAGTTGTTGGCTGTTTGTCTTTTTAGAGAGAGCAAAGTAAAGACCTACATAGCCATCTTGGGGACATCAGTCTACTTCCTTCTTTTCATAAAAACACTAAACTGTTCAGGTGGTCTCTATCTTTATATCTTATTCTAATATTCTTCCAATGAACTCACCACTTTCTTCCATTATGTTGAGTGTTAAGGCTTCAACATAAAATAGTAGTTTGGGAAAAACAAACAATCATGTGTGAGTCAGATACCACAATCCTTCCCGGAATACGTTGAAGAAAAGCTATTGAAGAACTTCCCTTAGGGAAAGCATGTGGCTGATGAGAAACTTATTGAAAAATAAACATAAAGAGGTTAGCATTTATGATTTTGATATAGAGTAATTGAAGAGGGGTCTCAGCATAGTTAGGTAGATATATGCAAGATAATACATACATAAATGCTGAGTGATGAGAAGAAAGTGGCAATGAAAATACATCGGAGAGGAGCATTGCAGGTAGACGAGACAATCCCTATTAGAAGGACTTTGTAGTAGTTGGTATTTACTACAGAGAGTTGTTGGAACAGATTGAAGAAAACCTGAACTTCAGAAAATTAGTTCTCATACTATCATCATGATCATGATCATCCTGTTCGTCGATTGCTTCGAGCAGGCCCCAGTAATGTCTCCTTCATCCTAGCCCTGAGATTTTAAGAAGTGCCATATTCAGGCTCTTTCAGGGTTAAGAGAATGAGACCCATCATTGTTACTGATATTTAGCATATTGGGTATGCCACGGGGAGTTTGTCAGACTCTGTCTTGTGGGCAGGTAACATTTGGTAACCTGCGAGGTTGTCCAAAGTAAGAACGAGATAATAAGATGATGCGCTTCCGGGAGCTGGGTCTCTGGATCTTGGCCGTTGATGGGATTACACAGCGCTGGGGGTCAGATGGTGGGTGTGAGCCCTGCCTACTGGAAGATGGAGGATCTGGGTGGAGGATGCTCAGCCCAAATCTGGGCAGGCTTGGAGATCTCAGCCCCGGGACCCTCATGCCTTTGTTCCTCTGCCAGTACCTTCATGCGTGTGGAGAGTGGTCTCAGCATGGTGGTGGCTGGTTCTGGAGGTCTTCAGCTGCTGGAGCTCTGTTCAGGGCGGGGAGGGAAACTCAACCCACCCCCCTCCAAGGGGGCGCGGGGAGGACAGCCAGGCATGGGGGCAGGAGACTCTGCTATTATATATAGGTTTATTTATTTGGTGGGAGAGGGTTGGAGGCCATACCATTGGTACACACAAGCTATTCCTGGCTCTGATCTTACAAGTTTCCCCTGGAGGTGTTCAGGAAAATGTATGCAGGGCTGTTGAGCAAACCTAGGTAGCTATACAGAAGGCAAGTGATTTTACCCCTGTATTATCTCTGCAGTCTCTTATCTGTAGTTTTACCATATCTTCTCTTTGACTGGAAAACTAGATTAAATAGCTATTCCAACTACCTTCACAAATCTCATCATACAACCTCCACTTCCCTGGGGCTAGAACTACACTGAAGGTAATGTCTCTGTGTTTAAGTGCCTTGACAAAATTCTGTTTCAAATGTCTTTATTATCTGCCTATAAATTTCAATGTCTTGTCCAAGAATTAACTAAAAATACAACAATTTCATGCACAGATTTATGCTAGAAATGTGTACTTAGAGAACCTAGAAAAGAAACTCTATTTCCAAAAGCATAATCTACTTAGAGAAAACTCAAACCCTTAAAGCGATTTCAGAATAAAACAGGCACACACTGAAAAGAACTATGGATTATTAGGGGAGAAGATTCTGAAATTTCTGTGCTTCTATTAAATGGTATTATATCCATTCTGTCTAATATATATGTATATATGCTATATATGCTAATGTAGTGTATTTTTCTCAAAAGTATTTTGTTATTGAATTAGTTGGATTTAAATTTATACCTTTCAAACTTTTTTAAATAGAAGATTTGGACTTTATAGATTATTTAGTAAAGTAAAGTAAAGTAAAGGCCCTCCCGCTGATCATCGATTTGCTCGAGTGGGCCCAGTAACGTCTCCATTGGAGACTTTGTTGTTACTGTGTCTGGCATATCGAATACTCTCAATAACTTGCCGGGCTCTCCGAGAGGGTCGGCCATGTTGGCTGCGTGCAAGGCAGACGCCCTACCCGCTGTGCTACTGTAAAATTAATTCTGTATATACTCCAAAGTTCTTTCTTTTCTTTTTTTTTATTGAATCATCGTGAGATACAGTAACAAGTTTTCATGTTTGAGTTTCAATCATACAATGATCAAACACCCATTCCTCCACCAGTTCATTCTTCACCACCAACGTCCCCAGTATATCCCACCCAAGTATATCCAACCTTCCCCTGCCTCCATGGCAGGCAATTTCCCCCATACTCTCTAATTTTGGGCATTATGATTTGAAATACAGATACTGAGAGGTTATCATGTTAGGTCCTTTATCTACTTTCAGGACACATATCCCATTCCGAACAATTTAATCAATGTGTTAGTGATCCTTCCAGCTATGGGGCAATATTCCTGACCCTTGTATCAACTCGAGCGGGCGCCAGTAACGTCTCCTTTTGCCCCTGTCATGTGCTAGTGTAGCCCAATGGCATCTGTTCACTCCGGGAACATGAAGGGCCTCAAACCGATTGTTCATGATCTTGACGAAGAAGTCTGACCCTCTGGTAGGTGGGCGGCCACGTGGTCTTTTGACATCCCGTGGAATCCAGTCGGTAACAGCTCTAGTCCAGCGGTTGTCTTTAAATCTCATTACGTGACCAGCCCATCTGATTTTAGACACCTTGGCAAATGAGACAGCGTCCCTGATTCTTTATCGTCGACGGATGTCAGAACTCTGGATTCTTTCTCTCATTTGAGTGAAACGTGATATTCCAAGCATAGCTCTTTCTATTCTTCTTTGGGAGACCTGAATAGCGTTCTCATCCTGTTTGCGTAGGGCCC